GCAATGGTGCTCTGTTCTTGATAGTGATCTCATTGAGACCTCTGTAGTCGACACAGAGTCTGAGACCTCCATCCTTCTTTGGTACGAAGAGCACTGGTGATCGTGCTGGACTCTTCGATGGTCTTATGAACCCCTTCTCGAGGTTCTCATCCAAGTACCTCCTCAACTCGGACATCTCCTTGGGTCCCTTAAGGTATAGAGGCCCTTGAGGTGGCTTGCCTCCTTCTATCAACTCGAGGTGGAGATCATGCTCGGTATGATGGGGCAGCTTGTCTGCTTCCACCTCATCGAACACATCTCTCAAGTGTTGGTATGGCTTTGGTATGTCCGCCGCCGTCACCACCTTGTCCACCTCCACCTCCATCTCGATTCCTTTGTCGGTGCCTGTAGGTACGAAACCAAAGGCCGGGAGTGATGATGGTGGTTCCTCCAACAGCATGAACCCTATGGGTCCATCTTCCAGAGCTGCTCGTAGTATGCGCTCTGCTGAGACAAACTCATTACCATGAAGGGTTGGTCTCCTCATGGTTAGGTCCCCTGCTCCTACTGCTTCAGGGGGTCTCTTCGGGGGTCGGTCCTGCTCCTGAGTCTTGAACTCCAGCTGGCCCGTATCCCATCGTATGGTGGGCTTGAGCTTCCTTAGCTCAGTGAACCCTAGGATGAGGTCGTAGTCGGCAGTGTTGGCCACTGAAGCTTCGACCACACCCAGATTGTGGTTACCAATAGTCACCTGCATGCTCGCAGCACTATTGATGGATAGTTGGTGTCCGGTGACACCATGGATCGATCTTGTTTTTATGGGTTTTGTTGGTATTTGGTACTTACTAATGAAAGAATCTGAAACTATGGACAAACCAGCACCGGTATCCGCTAGTATTCGAGCAGGATGGTCTTGAACCATTCCAGAGAGCTCCAGTACTGCTTTGCCTCCACTGGTCGAGAAACATACTTGACAATCTTGATATATACAGAGTGATGGCGAGGAGGTTTGTAGAGCAATGCATGCCATCAGTGCATCACCCCACTGACGTTTCCCTCGTCATCATCATCGTCTTGCTCCTCCTCGTGATCGAAGTCCGAGTCCATATGCTGCTGATAAGGCCGGAGGTCCATGTCCTCCTGCTCTGGCTCGGTATTGCCTGAGCGGCCATCTCCAGAGTCGGAGGCCTCGTCGAGGGGGTCCTTGGTGACGACCATGACCTTTGGTCCCATAGGTCGTGATCCCAGAGAGTCTACCCTCCTGCTAGGGCAGCTCCTGGCCCAGTGTCCGATACCATTGCACAAATGGCAGGTGTTGTTGCTGCCTCCTGATGGTGCCGGGGTTCCTTTTGGAGCTGGAGTGGGTTGATGGGGAGGGGGACGGTTGTTTGAGTGGGGAAGGGGTTGGGTGGAGTGTCGCGTCGGATAAGGTTGTGGCGGTCGATAAGGTTGGGACGGAAGATAAGGTGGAGCCGGTGATCGAGTTGAATAAGGTTGCGCAGCTGATCGCCGAACGGGAATTGAACTCTGGATTGGCCGAGTTCCTGGAGATGACACGTTGTTTGCTTGCACGTGTCTAGCTGAGGCCTGCTGCAACAGCATCCTTTGTCGGTCGATCTCTTCGACTTCCCGGAACCACTCCCATAGCTCCTTCGGTGGATTCCTTTCAAACTTCTCCTGTATGCTGCGAGTAAGGCTTCCTCTGAAGAGGTCAATGGTTAGCTCGTTGTCTCCTAGGTTGACCTGTCCTTCCAAGTCTCTGAACTGCTCTACGTGTCGTGTGGCAGCTCCTGGTGCATCACTAGTGAGTCTGAGAGCTAGCAGCTTGTTGTAAGCCTCCATCCTAGCATTCCGGGGGTTGAACTGTTCAGCTAGTCGTTTGGTGAAGAACTGCCAGTCATTGAATAGCCTCCCTTCTCTAGCTCTATCAAAGCGTAGCTTTGAGGTCCACCACTCTCGAGCAGTACCTTCCAATTGAGAACCCAGGTGGTTGATCATCCGGGTGTGCTCGTAGACTTGATTGAACCTAAACCAAGCTTCGGCTTCTAGAATGTAGATCTCGATGTCTCGGGGATTGAACTTTGGGAACGGGGTTGCAATGGGCTTTGAACGATCTGCCATGATGCTTGCCTCCTCCTCCTGGTCCTGAACATAAGGGTCCGCTCGGCTCCTGCTGTAGGGGTCCCTGGTCTTGAGATACTTCGGCCCGGTGGGGGAAGCATACTTCTCATAGTTGGTCTCAGCATGCTCATTCAAGTTGAATGAGACTGATGGTCTTGATCGTGGCGCCGGAGTAGGAGTATGGGGGTCTCCTATCATGGATTCATCTCCTCCTCCTGCTTGGTCTTCTGAGTGAGAGAGATCCGTTGCCTCCTCAGTCAGATGAGCTCGTCGTAGTCGTTCCTCCCGATGGCTTTGTCTGGTCAGCTCTAGCTGAGCTTCCATTAGTGCTAGTAGCCGGTCTAGCTTGTTGTTAAGGTCCTGATCCGTCATGGTGATCGTGAGGAGCTGCTTGAACGATCCACTCTAATGTCAGGGGTCTTGCGCCTGAAACCCAGATCAGTCTGTCGAGATACTCGGTGACTATCAAACTGTGCGACAGCTATTGTCTCGGTATCGGTGACTATCAAGTTGTGCGGTGACAGCGGGTGGCGTTCGTGGTATATACTATCGTAGGTTTCGGCTGACCTCTGTGGACACTCCGTTCAGGGGTAGCTCGGCACGATCAATATCAACGTTGAAGGTTATGGGGATACCAGGGTCTGGTGTTGGTGTTGATGATGATGAGGTTGTTGGTGAATGTCGATGAGATTGGTGGTGAGGTTGGTCGCGTCAACACGAGTGTCCAGTGTGCTGACTAATGCTGAGTGATCCCCGGACCGCAGTGGACTACTGCCTTCGGTTCTATCTATATCCGGACCGCTACCTGCTATAGGCGCCTACGGATTGTCAGGTAGTGGTGATACAACACACGCACTACGATGAGGAGCAATCTTGATGGATTGCTGCTATGCTGACTGCTAACTAATGAGTACTTGTGTTCTAAGTATTGACTAGTTATATGGTGAGTAGAGTGGATGGGGATCCACTCGACCTATGATGATGAGAAAGCATGGTTATATACCTCTTCACAGTATCGCCAGCGATGCTGCTCCTGCTCTCTCTCCAGAGAGTGCCTTCTTCATCGAGTACTGCTCAGGAGCCTCTCCTGCTTGGCACCCCTGTGCCTCTTGAGCTGCGTCGACTCCTTCGACACTGCTCCTCCTCCTCATGAGCTATGTCGACTCCTTCGACACTGCTCCTCTTCCTCATGAATTGTGTCGACTCCATCGACACTGCTCCTCCTCCTCATGAGCTGTGTCGACTCCATCGACACTGCTCCTCCTCCTTCATGACGTGCTTGGACCCCCTTGCATACAGGCCGGTCCTTCATGACGTGCTTGGACCTCCTTGCATACAGGCCGGTCCTCCATGACGTGCTTGGACCTCCTTGCATACAGGCCGGTCAAGTTGCTCTCCCACTACGCCTGCTACTAGTACCAGCTAGGCCTCCGGCCCCTTGGTACTCTATGCTCCCCTTCTATGAACCTCCATGCCCGTGTCCTAAGGCCTAGCCCTAGCCGGTGTGTCTTGCTTGCGGGCAACGCACAATTGCGCTCCGCCAAATTCGAAATTCACGCGACTGCGTTGACCCCCAATGCACTCGAAATTTACACTGCTCAAGTGCTGCAACGCAAACAAATTTATTTTCGCTGGAGCAGCGCAAATTGAGCAACGCACAGCTGGAGCAACGCACTCACAGCTGGAGCAACGCACACTCTGCTAGAGCAATGCAATCTGAGCAGCGCACAGCTCGAGAGCAACGCACTGTTCGAGAGCAACACACAGCTCAAGAGCAACGCACTGCTCGAGAACAACACACTGTTTGAGAGCAACGCACTCACAGCTGGAGCAACGCACTCACAGCTGGAGCAACGCACTCACAGCTGGAGCAATGCACTCACAGCTGGAGCAACGCACACTCTGCTGGAGCAACGCAATCTGAGCAGCGCACAGCTCGAGAGCAATGCAGAGCTCCAGCACAACTCTTGCACTTACACCCCACAACTACTCAGCCTTACAACTCCTTTGTCGACATCATGAGCCTCCTTTGCACTCTTAGCCCTTTGTTCTTGCTGCCACTACTTCTCATCATCACCGCACAACAAAATCACCACTTGTCTTCATCAGCTGTTGTTCTCTCTCATGCTCACACCTCACTACCACTCTGCCTTACAACACCTTTGTCGACATCATTTCTCTCTCACACTCACACCTCACTACCGCTCAGCCTTACAGCACCTTTGTCGACATCATTTCTCTCTCATGCTCACACCTCACTACCACTCTGCCTTACAACACCTTTGTCGACATCATTTCTCTCTCACACTCACACCTCACTACCACTCAGCCTTACAGCACCTTTGTCGACATCATTTCTCTCTCACGCTCACACCTCACTACCAATCAGCCTTGCAACACCTTTGTCAACATCATCAGCCTTTGTCCTTTATGCTCTCACACCTTTGTCGACATCATTAACCTTTGTTCTTACACTCTCACACCTTTGTCCTTTACGCTCTCACCCCTTTGTTCTTGCCACTGCTGCTTTTCTCACCATCACCACACATCACCATTGCCACTTGTTTCCTCCAGGCGTTTGCTCATCATCAATCCTTAGTCGATCTTCAACCCTTTGTTCTCATCATTGCTTTGTTGCACATCACCTTTCACATCACCGCCTGTACTCTATTCCCACACTCAGCAATCCAATGTTGTTGTTCCCCATCATCATTGTGTGTGTGTCTGCACATGCATCCTTTGACTTTGTCGTTGCCAACACCTGAGCTCCTCAGCATTAGCATATATACCAGCCCTCTTTCACAGCTATGGCAAGTCTCCTCAACGCTCACATCTCTCAGCACCATACCACACCAGCAACATCTAGCTCTTCTTGCCACTAACACCAACCACAATCTACAATGTCTCAATCATCTTCCATCTCCATCGGTGCCAGCATCAACACTGTTGCTGCAGTCAGGTACGTGCTATTATCCTCTTCCTTTGCCTCTTCCTATTGATCTCCAACTGACCAGTCTCTGTCTCTTACCGAGCTTTGCTGTCACTGTCACAGTAGCAGCATCAACCCCTTCACTGAAAGCCAAGTTCCTCTTGCCATCATCAAGAACCTTGCGATGCACAGTGCCAATGCTCTTTCAAACCCTGATGATGCTTTCCCATCTCCAGTAGCTGATGACCTTGCTCCTTCTGATGCCATCAACAGTGATGATGACTTGTATGTACACTGCTTCTCTCTCCAGTGTATCTTCTTGATCAGCATCAACTGACGTCACTTGTGCTATCTATGCTCTCCTTGTCATCAACAGCACTTTGCCGCTCCCTGCTGCCAACCAGACTGCTCTTGCTGCTCCAGTTGATCTGAAGGTTGCCAACCAGCTTTGCAGCTTCCGCCTCCGCCTCCTCCAGCACCCTTCTCTTCTCCTCTGCACTCGCCCTGAGTGCACTCACCACCTGCCACTCATCCCAACCTATGCCAATGTGTCTCAGCACCTCAAGTCCCACCATCATCCGCTCACCAAGACTGGCATCAAGCTGTTGGAGGAGACACTCCTTACTCTCGACCTTGTCAGCCCTGCTACTGTCAGCATCAACACCAATCTACTCCCCATCAACCTCATCAAGGAGCTTGATACATTTGATGGCTACTGTTGCAGTATCTGCGAGTATGCTGTCAAGTCAAGCTCCTCTGCATACAAGCACCAGCGCAGCAGCCATGATGGCAAGGCTTCTGTCATCCACCCTGTTCTCATTCAGCCCATCTTCACCAGTGGTCCCTTCACCCGCTATGTGTGGGTCTTCAACAGCAAGCTCGAGCCTACACCCCCTCCTGTTGCCTTCAACATCAACACAGAGGAGGACGCAGCTTTCAAGGAGCAGCTGGAAGCATTCTTTGCCAAGGATGCAGAGCTAATGGCAAAGGCAGATCTGGACATGGAGGGCATTCAACCACGAACTGTGACTGGCAATCTCAGCCCATGGCTCAAGCAGCTAGGCTGGCAGGAGTACTGGGCTGGCAAGCCAGTGGCGGCCATTGGTTCCCTTGGCTGCAACCCTCACAAGTGGCCAGGTGCCCACCAGGACTTCCTTCACTGGCTGCTTGGCATGACACAACAGTGTACACAGCAGTGGATGGAGGCACTTCTTCAATCTGGCCGCCAGGTGCAGCAAACCTTCCATGCCTTTGACGACACCCCTAGCCATCCATACTCCCTTGATCAACCCACAGTCATCAAGCGTGCTGACTGCTGGGCAATGCTCATCACCATGCTGGCTCATGTCATGCTAGATGGCAAGGTTCTTGGCTACTATGGTGATGATGATCAGGATGCACACCTTGGCATCAGTGAACAGCTTGCAGGGCTCTTCGAGGACCTTCAGGACCTCTTCCATGATCCCAATCTGGATGTTGATGTCTCCATGCATCCTGATGTGGTTTTGCAAGCATTTAGTGGCATCCAGTCGATCAGTGTCTACCTCATCACCCAAGATCCTCCTGCCTATGGTGAGCTGGAACGTCTTCCTCTGCTACGCACCTTCCTCCACCTCTGCCTCTCTCCTGATGGCACATCCAAGCCGGTCAATACAGCAACCTCGATCCTGGTCAACTTGGAGTTTGCATTCCGTGCAGTGATGCATCACCACCTCCTCCACCCAGAGCATGGCACTCTCATTGGCAAGCCAGTCCCAGAGATCAACAAGGGGGTTCAAGCAGTTATGAAGCGTTACCTGTTCAACAACAGCTACTCGGCAAGTGCTCATCTGCAATCCCTTCTCTGCTATGGGACCAAGCTGGCTAAGGATGATGGCGGCAGCCTCTACTTCCGGTGGTCTGAGGATAGGAAGCTGGTGACTTATGGCACTAACACAATCAAGATCAGCTGCCTTCACACCCTTGTCCAAGGCACCTTGGACCGTGCCACCTCTCTGTTGGAGCAGCTGCTGCTGAAGGATGGTGCCTTGTCCGAGCATGTGGATCTGTCTACATACAAGGACCACTTCTGCAACAGGGAGCCAGGCTACAGCTTTGTTACTGCTACAAAGCAAGATACTGGCACCTTTTGCCTCCGTCAGGCTCTCAAAGGCTTTCCTCAGCATCAACCGCTCCTTGATACTTGCTCAGCAGAGCCAGAGTTTGACATGGCTGCTGCCCATGCCTACTTTGCCCTTCACAATGAGTTCAACAAGCTCCTTGCTGTGCTCATTGAGCTCACCAGTGGTCTGCCGGCAAGAGGCACAGAGCTGGTCAAGCTGCAGCACACCAACACATTGGTCAGCCAGCGCAACCTCTTCCTTGCTGATGGTCACTTTGTCACTGTGCTTGCCAGCAACAAGGGCAAAGGTCCATCCAAGCTCATCCCTCGCTTCCTCCCTCATGCTGTTGGCCAGCTGGTGCTCTTTTACGTCATGGAGGTAGTGCCTTTCCTGCACCTCCTCTTCAACTCGGTAGAAGTTGCACGGGAGCCAAGTGCTCTCCTCCTTGTCAATCACAGGGGTCAGCCATGGCAGACCAATGACATCAGCAAGACATTACAGAGTCTTTGTCAGGAGTTTGTTGGCCCATCAGCAAGTTCTCTCCACATACGCAACTGGCGGCAGCTGTCAGTCAGCATTGACAAGGTGCTCATCCGGCCTGGCCTTCCCTCAGAGGAGTATGCTGACCATTCTCACGACTTGCAAGCTGGTCACTCCACGTCTACTGCTCAGCAGCACTATGGTCTGGACAGCAGCATGCTACTTGAACTGACACAGGAGAGCTTGGATTGTATGCTCTCTGTCTCCAAGAGGTGGCATGCATTCTGGTGTCTGGCTTCACGCTACCAGGATGCTGTGCAGCCATTGGATGCAGCAGCACCTCTTCAGGCAGGCTCTGCATGTGTCAATGCTGCCTTGCCTGTGGATCTCAAGCGCAAGTTGGACAAGTTGGACAAGTTGGAGGAAGATGTCCGGCACATCAGGAGAAAGGTGGAGGAGAAGCCATCTGCTTCCCTTGCAAACATCATCCCTCCTGTTGTCGAGAACCACCGTTCAGCTGTAATACCTCCTGTGGTCAGAAAAGCTCTCTTCAAGGTCACCAGTAGCCACTGTACCAAGACAGTGGAGCAGGCATATGCACTCAATGCCATTCACAGGTGTGAGTCACCACTGATCATTGTCATGGCAACAGGCACTGGCAAGTCTGCGCTCTTCATGACACCTCTGTTTTGGCTTCCTCCTACCTCGGTGGTGGTGGTGGTTGTACCATTCATTGCGCTCATGGAGGACCTACTGGAGCAATGCAAGCTTGTTGGGATCGTTGCAAGCAAGTGGTCTGGGTACAACTGTGCCAAGAAGGTGGAGGGAAGTCAGCTTGTGTTGGTGGCTGCAGAGAATTGCTACAACGAGCACTTTGGCAGCTGGGCACAGGAGATGGTGGAGCAAGAGTGCCTGGCAGCCATCTTCTTTGATGAGTGTCATGTCTGCATCACACAAGACTCCTTCCGGCCATCAATGGCAAAGATCAAGCAACTGATCACCACTGTTCCAGTGCCTCAGTACTTCCTCACTGCCACCCTGCCGCCAAGCCTCCTGTTGACCTTCAAGGCTGCACTTTGTCTCCCACAAGATGGCACTGGTATCATCCGTGCTGCTACCAACCGCAACAACATTGCCTACTCTGTTCAATGGCTGCCATCCTCTGCAACCATGGACTTTTACTTGCAGCAGCTTCTCCGATCCCATCCCCATGGCTCCATCATGGTCATCTGCCGTTCAAGGATAGCTGCCGAGACTACAGCCAGGTTGCTGAGTTGCCAGTGTATCTGGTCAGAAATGGATCAGGCAGACAAAAAGGCTATCCTCTTGTCGTGGCTTGCCTCTTCAGCAGCAGAGATGGATAACAGCAAGCGTGTCTTGGTGGGCACAACAGCCATTGGCACTGGCATCAATCCTCAGCATGTCAGCTTGGTTGTGCACATGGGTGGAGCATATGATATGGTCAGCTATGTGCAGGAGTCAGGACGTGCTGGCAGGAGTGGTCAGCCAGCCAAGGCAGTGATGATGGTCTATGATGGTGTACGGTTGGAGGACAAGGTTGATCTGTATGTCAAGGAGAAGGTGTGCAGACGTGTAGCTATCTCTAGCTACATGGACGGCATGCCCCTCACCTGTCTCAGTCAGCCAGATCTTGCTCTCTGTGACCTCTGCAGTCAATGTGTTGCAGGTGATGCAAAGACTCTGCCAAATCCAATGACATCTATCAACACACCTCCAAGGTCCGACAAGTCCAATGCAGCAATGTCTCTACCTCCTTCTCTGCAGAAGATACAGTATCAGCAGGGCATGGCCGATCTCAGCTCACTGGCGCAGCATCCAAGTAATGCTGCCAAGAGCCCTGTCGACATCCCCTCCACCATTGATCTTCTCCACAAGTTGTCCAAGCAGTGCTCCCTCTGCTACCTCTTTGGTCATCAGCATAGCTGCATTGGAAAGCATGGTGCTGACCATGCCTTCATATCGTGCAAGTGTTGGCCCCTGATTGAGGCATGCATGCCTCAGTGGCATGAAGGTCAGATCAACGGAACTCACCTTGGTCAGGTGAAGAATCGGATGAGGAGGGACAAGCCAAAAGGAGTTGCCTGCTACACATGTTACACTCCTATACACACCTGCACAAACAGCAGCTTGGCTCCAATGAGGGGATGCACAAAGAGGTATGCTGATATTGTGCTACCAGTAGTAGCTGTTGTGCTCCGGCACAAAGAGTTCAGGGAGAGGATTTGCCAGGAACTCAAAGTTGATTGCTCGGACATGTCACAGCTGGAACTTGACCTTTGCAGTGCATTCACATACAAAGGAGAGAAAGTTTCCCTTGCATATGCCATCTTTGTTGTAGCCATGGAGAATGCTTCCATGTTGTAGTTGTAGCTGCACACATTAACACAGTGAATGGTAAAGGTGATGCAGTATAGCCTCGGGTAAGAGTGAGAGTTTCACACAGCACACAAAGTTGCAAGTAGTAACATCAAATCAGAGTTGTATCACAGGAGCAAGGCAAGACACATCAGGGAAAGGTAGGCAGAGGCTGGAAGAGCTTCCAGGCTTCAAGACATTCTTGCCGGTAAGCATGCTTCTGCTCCTCTGAGGTGTCGGCTGCTCTGCCATCATAGCCCTTCCACTTGGCCACATCACTGGACATGAACATGGTCATGGATCCACGGGTCTCTCCCTCCAGTATCGGAGAGTTGAAGTGGTGCAGCACATGGGATGGGAAAAAGCAGAGGGCACCAGGAGGAAAGTCAATGCTGACCTTGGCCTCAGTGAAGCTGATCTGCAGCTGGGTATAGTCACCATAGCTGAACACACCAGCCAGACCTTGGAGATAGTCACGCCTGTCTCTGTGAGGCAGACTGTATGCCTGACCCTCCTGGTTGATGGCAATGGAGGGAAATGCAGGAGCCCAAAGGAAAGCACCATGGGGATGGTAGTGGTCTGAGCTGCCAATCTCCATGTAGTGGCTTGCGTGCTCAGGGAAGCACTCAAAGAAGCATGTGTTGCAGTATTCACGGAGGGTTGTGACATGCTTGCTGCGCAGGAACTTGATCATCTCCCTGTAGTTCTTGACAAACTTCAGGTTGAAGTATGGTCCAGGCATACATGCTGAATCTTGTCCACTGAGCATGAGATGGTAGGTGAAGAAATCTCCACGCAGAGACTCGACTGGTGCACCAGCTGACCTTGGAAGCTCAGCTTGGAGGCGTCTGAACTCCTGGTACATCTCTTCAAACCTGGGACAGTCTGGCTTCTTGACCACACTTGCATAGTGGAGACTGTTCTTGTCAACCAGGTGAATGACATCTTCCTGACCAACAAAGCACACTGACTGGAATCCAGTGGTGTCGGGCTGCACACTGAGCTTAGGCAACTGATGCTCTGCATGAAAGAACTCCTTCAGATCAAGAGCAGTGGTCACAACTCTAGCTGAATGGTTCTGTAGCTTTGAGCTCAGTGTCAGACCACCCACCTGCTTTGCATTGTCCCAGCCTAGATAGTGATCACTCTTTGGCGTGTACTGTTTCACAAGGAGCTTTGATTGCTTTTTAGGACGCTTTGGAGTGTCCATCTTGATGATACCCTTGGCTAATTCAAGAGTGAGAGGCTTCAGAGTTGGTTTTGAGCAAGTTGGCATAGCATTGAGAGCTTTTTTCAACTCAGAAAGGTCATTCTTGACTCTTTTCTCTGCCTTGTTTCGTTCCTTTTCACTGGAGAAGCCTCTCGAGCGTGTAGCATGTCCCTGAGTCCCTTCAGGACGCTTGTTGGCCTTGTTGGTCACCATCTTGAAGGGTGATATTGCTGGAAAAACCAAGAGCGGTAAAAAAACCAGCAGCAAAACAAAGTGAATGCAGAAACCACTCTAAACTAATGCTATGGACTTTGCTTTTGAGATACTGATAAGCAATAAATAGAAGAGCAAATCCTGAAAAGCGCAGCTCCTGACAATGTATATAGGATGCACTATAGTGAAATGAAAAGTGAAGTATAAAAGAAATCACAGAAAAGTGGAAAAATTACTTCAAGCCAAATGCTTCGGCAGACTGTTGGAGAACAGCCTCGAGTGTCTTGATGCAAAATTTGAGCGAAATCGCTTGAGATTTGGGTCCAATCTTGAAGAATCTTGAGGATTTTTTGGACAAAAAACGACTTTTTTGAACAGATACAGTGAAGTATCACCCTTCCAACAGCTTTGAAGCGAGGCTGGCCAGGCCTATGTGCTCTAAGCGTCAATGAAGGGCAGGTCTCTTGTGCAGGAGCTCTGTAAGGCACCTAGGATACCTAGTCAAGAGACAACACAAGATTCCCAATGAACAACGTCGCTTGGATGTCTGCTTGCAGTACAGGGTTCGAACGAGCTTGAGGAGACGAAGAGAATGAGCTATAGACATCAAGAATCGAATCACAGGGAGAGGAGATATAGTCAAAAGAGATTTGTCACTATGCATAGTATATATACTTACTTTTTCCAGCCTGTGCGCTTTAGAGGGTCCTTAAGAGGCTGTAAAGATGTCGAAGATATGTGTCCTAAGTAAAACAGGGTCCAGGAGTTCGAATCCGAGGTCGGAAAGGAGGGTTGTCTTGATGGATATCGAGTAGGAGCACGACTTATGATGCAAAAAAAAGTCGGCTCCTCAAAAGAAAGGTCTTGAGAGAGTCGGAAATATGTGTCCTAAGTAAAACAGGGTCCAGGAGTTCGAATCTGCTAAAAAAACAGAGGGTTAATTTGCAGAAAAACATAGGAGGGTGAATTGTAGAAGTATCAAAAAAGCGACCTTGATCCAGATGGGGTATATATGCTGTTTCAGCTACCTCAAGATAGCTCCTTCGGCTCCTTCACATGGAGCCTGTGCTGTGTGCAAAGTTTCAGTGCAACAGAAGCAGTATCTGTGAAGCTAGATCAAAAGACAGTATAGTGTGAAACCAAAATTTCGGCTAGAGGGGTCAAAACTTGGCCGATTCAAGCATGTGATAGCTTGTTCTGCTCCTTCACACTGCACCTGAGCTGTGTGCGAAGTCTCAGAGCAAGAGCAGCGGTTCCTGTGAAGCTAGAGCAAAATAATCGAAGTACTATAGTGTGAAATCAAAATTTCGGCTAGAGAGGTCAAAACCTAGCCGATTTGAGCATGTGATAGCTTGTTCTGCTCCTTCACACCGCTCCTGAGCTGTGTGCGAAGTCTCAGAGCAAGAGCAGCGGTTCCTGCAAAGCTAGAGCACATTTTCAAAGTACTATAGTGTGAAATCAAAATTTGGAGCAGCACAGGCCTGAGCGCGCGTTCGAAGCACTGCACTGCTTGACAGCGAAATTAAGAGCAGCGCACTGCTGGACAGCACACTCTGTTGGAGCAGCACAATTAAAAGGAGCACATTTCGAAGGAGCGCAAATCGAAGCAGCACACACTCTGCTACAGCAGCGCAATCGAGAGGAGCTCCATCGAGAGAAGAGCAAGAGAGAGGAGCGCAATCGACAGGAGAGCAATCGACAGGAGAGCAATCTACAGGAGCTCTATCGAGAGTAGAGCAGGAGAGAGGAGGTCTATCGAGAGGAGCACAATCAACAGGAGCTCTATCGTCAGGAGTGCAATCTACAGGAGCTCTATCGAGAGTAGAGCAGGAGAGAGGAGGTCTATCGAGAGGAGCACAATCAACAGGAGCTCTATCGTCAGGAGTGCAATCGACAGGAGCTCAAACAAGAGGAGCGCTCACTCTGCTGGAGCAGCACAATCGAAATGAGCGCAATCAAGACGAACGCAATCGACAGGAGCACAATCGACAAAAGTGCAATCAACAGCAGCTCAATCGACAGGAGCGCAATCAAGAGGAGTGCAAGCGACAGGAGCGAGCACTCTGCTGCAGCAGCGCAATCGAGAGGAGCGCAATCACGAGCAGAGCAGGAGAGAGGAGCACAATCGACAGGAGCTTTATCGACAGGAGCTTTATCGACAGGAGCTCATTGGAGAGGAGCGCAAGTGACAGGAGCGCAATCGAGTGAAGAGCAGCAGAGAGGAGCGCAATCAAGAGGAGCGCAATTGACAGGAGTGCAATCGACAGGAGCGCAATCGACAGGAGCGCAATCGACAGGAGCTCAATGCAGAGGAGCGCAGACGACAGGAGCGCAATCGAGAGCAGAGCAAGAGACAGGAGCGCAATTGAGAGGAGCGCAATCGACAGGAGTGCAATCTAGAGACGAGCAGCAGAGAGGAGCGCAATCGACAGGAGTGCATTCGACAGGAGCTCAATCAAGAGCAGCGCAATTGACAGGAACTCAATTGAGAGCAGAGCAATCGACAGGAGCTCATTCGACAAGAGCACAATCGACAGGAGCTCAATCGACTGGAGCGCCCACTCTGCTGCAGCAGCACAATCGACAGGAGACCAATCAAGAGGAGCGCAATCAAGAGGATCACAATCAAGAAGAGCACAATCAAGAGGAGTGCTATCAAGAGAAGAGCAATCGACAGTAGTGCAATCGAAAGCAGAGCAATTGACAGGAGCGCAGAAGAGAGCAGCGCAATCGACAGGAGCTCATCAAGAGGAGCGCAATCGACAGGGACACATTCGAGAGCAGAGCATTCGACAGGAGCGCTCACTCTGCTGCAGCAGCGCAAATGAGAGGGGCTCAATCAAGAGGACCACAATCGACAGGAGCTCACTCGAGAGCAGAGCAGGAGAGAACAGCGCATTCGACAGGAGCACAATCGACAGGAGCACAATCAAGACGAGTGCAAGTGACAGGAGTGCAATCGAGTGAAGAGCAGCAGAGAGGAGCGCAATCAAGAGGAGCGCAATTGACAGGAGTGCAATCGACAGGAACTCGATCAAGAGCAGCGCAATCGAGAGGAGCTCAATCGAGAGAAGCGCACACTTTGCTGGAGCAGCACAATTGACAGGAGCGCAATCAAGAGAAGAGCAATCGACAGGAGCTCTATCGACAGGAGCGAAATCGAGAGCAGAGCAGGAGAGAGGAGCGCTCACTCTGCTGGAGCAGCACAATCTACAGGAGCGCAATCGAGAGCAGAGCAAGAGAGAGGAGCGCAATCGAAAAGAGTACTCACACTGCTGCAGCAGCGCAATCGACAAGAGCTCGATCGACAAGAGTTCAATCAAGAGCAGCACAATCGACAGAAGCTCAATCAAGAGGAGGGCAATCATGAGGAGCTCAATTGACAGGAGCGCAATCGAGCGCAGAGCAGGAGAGAAGAGTTCTATCGACAAGAGCGCAATCGACAGAAGCGCAATCGACAGGAGCGCAATCGAGAGCAGAGCAAGAGAGAGGAGCTCTATCGACAAGAGCGCAATTGACAGAAGTGCAATCGATAGAAGCGCAATCGAAAGGAGCGCAATCAAGAGGAGCACATTGGACAGGAGCGCAAGAGAGAGGAGCGCAATCGAGAGCAGAGCAAGAGTGAGGAGTGCAATCGAGAGCAGAGCATCAGAGCGGAGTGCAATCGACAGGAGGTCATTTCAGAGGAGCTCAATTGACAGGAGCGCAATCGAGAGACGAGCAGCAGAGAGGAGTGCAATCGACAGGAGCGCAATGAAGAGGAGTGCAATTAAGAGGAGTGCAATTAAGAGGAGTGCAATGGAGTGGAGCTCAATCAAGAGCAGCACAATCGACAGGAGCGCAATCGACAGGAGCGCAATCGACAGGAGCGCAATCGACAGGAGGTCTATCGACAGGAGCGCAATTGACAGGAACTCAATTGAGAGCAGAGCAATCGACAGGAGCTCATTTGACAAGAGCACAATCGACAGGAGTTCAATCGACTGGAGCGCTCACTCTGCTGCAGCAGCACAATCTAGAGGAGCTCGATCGAGAGCAGCGCACACTTTGCTGGAGCAGCACAATCAAGAGGAGCGCACTGCTGGACAGCACTCACTCTGCTGGAGGAGCACAAGTCGAAGGAGCACAAGACTAATCGTCATTTCAAACCCGATCTAACATTTGGAGCACGTTGACCGACATTTATTTTTGACATCAGATTCAATCTAACATTCTTGAGATGTGTCTAGCATTTTGTGACCTCTATTTCGACCTCATATTTTCGCACCTTTTGTTAAATATGTGTTCTTTGTTTCGATCTAGTATTTTGCGCACATTACTGATACTTTGAAATGATTGTTTCGTTCTAACCTTTTTGGCATGTGACCTGTGTTATGTAACCCCTTTTTGATCTAACATCCACCACATGTGACTGATGTTTTCCTCGTGCCTCACAGCTAGCAGCGCACTGCTGGACAGCGTAATTAAGAGGAGCACACTGCTTGACAGTGCACACTCTGTCGCAGAAGCACAACTCAGAGCAGCGCAATCGAAAGCAGAGCAAGAGACAGGAGCGCAATCGACAGGTGCGCAGGAGAGAGCAGAGCAGCTGAGAGGAGCTCTATCAACAAGAGCCCAATCGACAGGAGAGCAATCAACAGGAGCACAGGATGGAGGAGGTCTATCGACAGGAGCACAATCGATAGGAGCGCAATCAACAGGATTGCAATGGAGAGGAGCGCTAGAGAGTGGAGCTCAATCGACAGGAGCTCTCACTTTGCTGCAGCAGCGCAAATGAGAGGAGCTCAATCAAGAGGAGGGCTCACTCTGCTGCAGCAGCGCAATCGACAGGAGACCAATCAAGAGGAGCGCAATCTAGAGGATCACAATCAAGAAGAGCGCAATCAAGAGGAGTGCTATCAAGAGAACAGCAATCGACAGTAGCGCAATCGAAAGCAGAGCAATCGACAGTAGCGCAATCGAAAGCAGAGCAATCGACAGGAGCACAGGAGAGAGCAGCGCAATCGACAGGAGCTCATCAAGAGGAGCGCATTCGACAGGAGCGCTCACTCTGCTGCAGCAGCGCAATCGAGAGGAGCGCAACCAAGAGGGCCACAATCGACAGGAGCTCACTCGAGAGCAGAGCAGGAGAGAGCAGCGCATTCGACAGGAGCACAATCAACAGGAGCACAATCGACAGGAGCACAATCAAGACGAGTGCAATCGAGAGGAGCGCAATTGAGAGGAGCGCAATCGACAGGAGCGCAATTCGAAGCAGCTAACACTCTGCTGGAGCAGCGCAATCGAGTGCAGAGCAAAGAGAGCAGAGCTATCGACAGGAGCGCAGGAGAGAGGAGCTCTACCGACAGGAGCGCAAGAGAGAGGAGTGCAATCGAGAGAAGAGCAGCAGAGAGGAGTGCAATCGACAGGAGCTCTATCGAGAGCAGAGCAGGAGAGAGGAGAGCAATCGACAGTAGCGCAAGAGAGAGGAGTGCAAGAGAGAGGAGCGCTCACTCTGCTGTAGCAGCGCAATCGACAGGAGCGCAATCGACAGGAGCGCAATCGAGAGCAGAGCAGGAGAGAGGAGCGCAATCGAGAGAGGAGCGCAATCGAGAGAAGAGCAGGAGATAGGAGTGCAATGGAGAGCAGAGCAATCGACAGGAGTCAATCAAGAGGAGCGCAATCAAGAGGAGCGCAATCAACAGAAGTGCAATCGACAGGAGCGCAATCGACAGGAGCGCAATCAAGAGGAGGTCTATCGACAGGAGCGCAATCAACAGGAGCGCAATTGACAGGAGCGCAATCAAGAGGAGTGCAATCGACAAAAGCACAGTCGACAGGAGCGCAATCGAGAGATGAGCAGCAGAGAGGAGCGCAATCGACAGGAGTGCATTCGACAGGAGCACAATCGAAAGGAGCTCAATGGACAGGAGCTCAATGGACAGGAGAGCAATCGACAGGAGCTCACTCGAGAGCAGAGCAGGAGAGAACAGCGCATTCGACAGGAGCACAATCGACAGGAGCACAATCAAGACGAGTGCAAGAGAGAGGAGCACAATCGAGAGCAGCGCAATGGACAGGAGCGCAATTCGAGCGCAATTAGGAGGAGCGCAATTGACAGGAGTGCAATCGACAGGAACTCGATCAAGAGCAGCGCAATCGAGAGGAGCTCAATCGAGAGAAGCGCACACTCTGCTGGAGCAGCACAATCGACAGGAGCGCAATCGAGAGCAGAGCAAGAGAGAGGAGCGCAATCGAAAAGAGTACTCACACTGCTGCAGCAGCGCAATCGACAAGAGCTCGATCGACAAGAGTTCAATCAAGAGCAGCAGAATCGACAGAAGCTCAATCAAGAGGAGGGCAATCATGAGGAGCTCAATTGACAGGAGCGCAATCGAGCGCAGAGCAGGAGAGAAGAGTTCTATCGACAAGAGCGCAATCGACAGAAGCACAATCGACAGGAGCGCAATCGAGAGGAGCTCACTCGAGAGCAGAGCAGGAGAGAGCAGCACGTTCGACAGGAGCACAATCAAGACGAGTGCAAGAGAGAGGAGCGCAATCGACCGGAGAGCAATCTAGAGACGAGCAGCTGAGAGGAGCGCAATCGACAGGAGTGCATTCGACAGGAGCTCAATCAAGAGCAGCGCAATCGACAGGAACTCAATCGAGAGCAGAGCAATCGACAGGAGCGCATTCTAGAGAAGGGCAGCAGAGAGGAGCGCTCACTCTGCTGGAGTAGCACAATCGAAAGGAGCGCAATCGACAGGAGCTCAATCAACAGGAGCACAAGAGAGAGCAGAACGAGAGAGAGGAGCGCAATTAAGAGGAGCGCAAATCGACAGTAATGCAAAAGAGAGCAGAGCAAGAGAGAGGAGAGCAATTGAGAGGAGTGCAATCGAGAGGAGCTCAATCGACAGGAGCGCAATTGACAGGAGCACAATCAAGAGGAGTGCAATCGAGAGAAGAGCAGCAGAGGGGAGCGCAATCAAGCGGAGCGCAATCAAGAGGGGCGCAATCAAGAGGAGTGCAATGGAGAGGAGTGCAAGAGAGAGCAGAACAGGAGAGAGGAGCTCAATCGACAGGAGCACAACTGAGAGCAGAACAATCGACAGGAGCGCAATCAACAGGAGCGCAATCGAGAGCAGAACAAGAGAGAGGAGCGCAATCGACAGGAGCGCAACTGAGAGCAGAGCAATCGACAGGACCGCTCATTCTGCTGGAGCAACACAATCGACAGGAGCGCAAACGAGAGTAGCGCAATTCGAAGCAGTGAACACTATGCTGGAGCAGCACAATCGAGAGAAGAGCGAGAGAGAGGAGCTCTATCGACAGGAGCTCAATCAAGAGGAGCGCAATCGAGAGGAGCTCAATTGACAGGAGCGCAATCGAGAGCAGAGCAAGAGAGAGGAGCTCTATCGACAAGAGCGCAATTGACAGAAGTGCAATCGATAGAAGCGCAATCGAAAGGAGCGCAATCAAGAGGAGCACAATGGACAGGAGAGCAATCGAGAGGAGCGCAATCGAGAGCAGAGCATCAGAGCGGAGTGCAATCGACAGGAGGTCATTTCAGAGGAGCTCAATTGACAGGAGCGCAATCGAGAGACGAGCAGCAGAGAGGAGTGCAATCGACAGGAGCGCAAGAGAGAGGAGGGCAATGAAGAGGAGTGCAATTAAGAGGAGTGCAATGGAGTGGAGCTCAATCAAGAGCAGCACAATCGACAGGAGCGCAATCGACAGGAGTGCATTCGACAGGAGCGCAATCGAGAGCAGAGCAATGGACAGGAGCGCAATCAAGAGGAGCGCAATGGACAGGAGCTCATTGGAGAGGAGCGCAATTGACAGGAGCGCAATCGAGAGATGAGCAGCAGTGAGGAGCGCAATCGACAGGAGTGCAATCGACAGGAGCGCAATCGACAGGAGCTCAATCAAGAGGAGCTCGATCGACAGGAGAGCAATCGAGAGAAGAGCAGCAGAGAGAAGTGCAATCGACAGGAGCTCATTGGAGAGGAGCGCAATCGACAGGAGCGCAATCGAAAGAAGAGCAGAAGAGAGGAGCTCAATCGACAGGAGACCAATTGACCGGAGACCCATTGACAGGAGCGCAATCGACAGGAGAGCAATCTACAGGAGCGCAATCGAGAGCAGAGCAGTAGAGAGGAGCTCTATCGACAAGAGCGCAATCGACAGAAGTGCAATCGAGAGGAGCTCAATCGAGAGCAGAGCAAGAGAGAGGAGCGCAATTGACAGGAGTGCAATCAACAGGAGTGCAAGAGAGAGGAGCGCAAGAGAGAGGAGCGCAATTGAGAGGAGCACAATAGAGAGGAGCACAATAGAGAGGAGCACAATCGACAGGAGCTGTATTGACAGGAGCGCAGGAGAGAGGTGAGCAATCAACAGGAGCGCAAGAGAGAGGAGTGCAATTGACAGGAGCTCTATCGACAGGAGCGCAATCGAGAGTAGCGCAATTGAGAGGAGCGCAATTGAGAGGAGTGCAATCGAGAGCAGCGCAATTGAGAGCAGAGCAAGAGAGAGGAGCGCAATCGAGAGGAGCGCTCACTCTGCTGGAGCAGCACAATCAAGAGCAGCGCAATCGACAGGAGCTCTATCGACAGGAGCGCAATCGACAGGGGCTCATTGGAGAGGAGCGCAATCGACAGGAGCGCAATCAAGAGAAGAGCAGAAGAGAGGAGCTCAATCAACAGGAGACCAATCGACAATTAAAATGCTGGCTCAATGAGCCAAATTGGTTCACTGGTTGCTGAGATACAAATTGCTGCCTGCCAAATAATCAGAGGCGTGTTTTTGCTTGTGTGTCCAATCTCACTGATATTTCGGATCTCGCCAATTTTTCTGGCCGATATTTTCGATCTCGCCAATTTATCCAATTTATCTGATCTTGCTGATCGTTCCAATTTTTCCGATCTCATCGATTTTTCTGATCTTGCCGATTTTTCCAGCCGATATTTTCGATCTTGCTGATTTATCCGATTTATCCGATCTTGCTGATCGTTCCGATTTCTCACGATCTCGCCGATTTTTCGGATTTTTTCGATCTTGTCGATTTTTCCGATCTCGCTGATTTTTCCGGCTGATATTTTCGATCTTGCCGATTTATCTGATCTGTCCGATTTGACTGCCGCTGGCCAAAGATTCTGGCGCGTGTTTTCGCGAGTGTGTCT